TCTGAGGTAAAATGGGATGAGGCAACAATCATCAAACCTCTGTCTTTCCCAACTTTAGCAATGACAGTGGAGAAGATTGAAATATACAGAAGTAGGATAGGAGATGGGTTTAAATGCGAGGAATGCCAAGAGACTGCCTTCGGCATGGAAGTACTTGGTTAAGAAATTTACTAGAAACGTGGACCAGAATTAGTACATTGAAGATTTATGTTATTTTTTGTTTTATTTTAATTTTTATATATTCTTCCATTATTTTTCTCTTGTAAAAAATTATGTTCTATTCATGGAACATTTACGTTCCATTTTCATTTTCGACCTGAAGATGGCCTATTAATTGGGCTGAAAACGTTTGTTTTTTACAATTATATTTATTTCTCGGCAAAAAAAGGTGTTTTGTTTCACTTTATTTAATTGCTGAGCACTTTTGATATTGATTACATAATCTGCAAAATTATTTATCAATTATTTGAATAAAAAATTTTAAAATTAATTTGTAAAAATTTTTTTAGCCATTGATTGAAATTATAATGAGATTAAATATATTTTAAATTGTTAAATTTTATTAAAACTAAATAGAGATAAAGAATCTTTAAAGGGTTTTTTCTCATTCAACTCATTTGGTTCCATTAAGACTGTTCTATATCAATATATTTTTACTTTATAAGTTATTTCTATATTACAGATAAATGAAATAACAACTTTAATAATTATAAATTATAAGATACTCTTATCAAATCTGATTTTCATTTATCGACTTTTGCTTTCAATGCATATGAATTAAATCAGTTTTAAACTTGTTTTTATTCTTCCAGAAAAATTTCTTCAACAATCATAAAACAATAATCCCAATCATTTGACTACTTTATTGAATATAAAAACTTATTACAGAGATTTGATAATTTAAAATTCACAAAATAATTAACAATTCTTTTGATAATTAATTTTAAATTACAATCTAACCATGCAAAACAAATTATTATTATTATTATATTATTCACAATTACATGATTAACATAGTCAAAACTTTTTATTAGAATAAAAATTTAATTAAATTAATTTAACAATTAATAAATTATCCTTAAAATTTTGCATAATCTGTTCTTTTCCAATACACATCTATCAGTCTACATAGCTTTATATTAAAATGAAAGTATTAGCAAGGTTGTGCCAAAGTTTTCATCTCTAAAACGTGAACATTGAACGTCTCTTACAAGATAGCAGCACTGACATTCGCATTTTAGAGATGAAAACTTTGGCTGCAACTTTGCTATTGTGATTTCAATGATATGTTTTAAAAAAAATGTATGACAAAATATTAAGAAAATGAATTATTTTTATAGTTTTCTTCTGTCTGTTAATTTGAATGTTATGCTGATATCTTTGTTTAAAATATACTTTCATTTTACTGTCAAAACTAAGATCAAGAGAGTAATGTAAATTTTAAATTCAGTATAATACTCCACATTCAATGAATTTTTACATAAAATTTAAAAGTGTATTAACTTTTAGTAATTGAGTGCTTCAATTGTTATGAAGTTGAAACTATATCAAAACAACAATATAAAATTTTGATTAGTGTAATGTATTTGAATAGGTCAAACTATGAATAAGACTAACATATGGCTGTAAATAAAATTTTGTATATACTTTTATTATGTTAAAAAATCTTTTGAAGAATTTAAAAGTACTTAATTAAATTAATATCCAACAAAAATATATTAGGCTTATAACTCAACCAGAACCTAACATCAAAGATGACGTCATATGTAATAGCATCTGTCATTGGATATATCATTTTAATAATCATAAAATCATCCAATTAGATTGCACGTTATAATATAGCATTTTCATATAAAATTTCAATTATAGTATGTATAATGTTTATGATATATATTCGTATTTTCCTCTACAAAATTAAATTGTATTTATATCATTACTTAACTCATAACTTCCGATGCAAGTATAAAATGTGTATATTTTGAATATGTTAATAATATAATTGCAAATATCACATCGCTCTTTCTTTATTAAACATTCTATCTCTCCCTTACCTCCGCCATTCTTCGCTCGTTAGTTCACATCATAGACACATAGTGGCGCACTGATCATTGTAATTTTTGAATAATGTTTAATTTTACTTATATTTGAATAATCAGAGAAAATGTTTATTTTGCATTCGAATTACACAGTCCGTGGGCTATTGATTGCTCGTTCTGACTTTTCTCATTTATAATTGAGTTAATTTAAACGATGTTATCCTTGAAATTGCCAAAATTTATATCAAATATGATTTTAAAAGAGGAAAAATGCATTACATTTATAATTACAGAACATAAAAATGTAATAATTTTTAAATGAAAATAATTTTTAAAATATAAAATGTTTATTTAAATAATATTTACATTAATATTTTTAACTACTTATTTATAAAATCAATTATCCACATTTTATTTGAAAATATTTAACGTTTTCGAATAATAGAATTTTAACTCGTGCAATAATTTAAATACTCGTATTCGTTTGATATTTATATTTGTTCGATATTAAAGCTAACAAATAGGATAACAAGTAGTCGAATTGTATTTTTATAAGTGTCTAAAGTTTTCTGCGTAAAATGGAAGGAGCTATTTCTAATAATAGTTTACCGGTGGCTTCACTATATATCGGTGATTTGCATCCCAATGGAACGGAATTCGTGCTACATGAGAAGTTTTCTGCCATAGGACCTATTTTATCAATTCGTGTATGCAGAGATAGAAGTACGCGAAGATCGTTGGGTTATGCTTACGTTAATTTTCAAAATTACGAAGATGCAGCAAAAGCACTAGAAACAATGAATTATGATTTGATATGCGGAAAGCCAATCCGTATTATGTGGTATCGAAGAGATGCTACTTTAAGAAAATCTGGCATCGGAAATGTTTTCATCAAAAATTTGGGAAAGCATATCACGAACAGAGAAGTATACAATACATTCTCAAATTTTGGAAACATTCTTTCTTGCAAAATTGTAACCGACGAAAGAGGTATTTCGAAAGGATACGGATTTGTACATTTCGAGAAGGAAGAAGCGGCAAATAAAGCCATTTCAAAACTTAACGGTATGTTTTTCAACGGAAAAAAAATTTATGTTGGTAATTTTATCCCTCGAACCCAACGTGAAAATTGCTTGGATAGATATAAGTTTAACTTTACAAATATCTACATTAAAAATTTTGGAGAAGATTTAGACGATAAAAAATTGAAAAAATTATTCGAAAAATATGGAAATATCACCAGTGCTAAAGCTATGACCGATGAAATTGGTAAATTAAAAGGATTTGGATTTGTAAATTTTGAAAATTCCGAAGATGCACAAAAAGCTATTGAAGAAATGAATGGTAAAGAACTAAATGGAAAAATTCTTTATGTTGGTTGGGCTAGAGGAAAGTCAGTAAGAGCGAACTATGTTCATGAAATAATAAAAGAGAGTGATGCAAGGTATAAAAACTTTAAATATGATCAAGGTCTTAATGTTTTCATTAAAAATTTGGATGACACAATTGATGATCAGAATCTTGCAAGAGAATTTTTACCTTTCGGCACTATCACCAGTGCCAAAGTTATGACCGATGCTAATGGAAATTCCAAAGGTTTCGGTTTTGTATGTTTTAGTACTCCAGAAGAAGCCAACAGAGCAATCGCCAACATGAATGGAAAGTTTTTAATTTCGAAACCTCTGTACGTTACTCTAGCGAAGAAAAAAGACGACCGTAGAGCCGAAATAGCTTCAAGATATTTAGAAAGAATTTCCGCGATGTCTATGCAACCATATTTTTATCCCATGTATCAACCTGGAATTCTGGAGTATTGCATTCCATCAATGTTTCCCATGAATAATTCATGCTTTCCTATGCATACAAACAGTGCATCTCATTAAACAATTCACTTTTAACAAGGAAAATTATCATTTTTATATCTATTAATCTATTCTAAATCAAAATTTATTTATATATATTTATTTGTTTCTAGTAAAGCTTAATTTTATGTTTTCACTTTTTGTTATAAAATATAAATATTTTGTTATAGTAAAAAATACAGTATAAAATTATAATTTTTTTTCTTTTGTTTATGTTAATAAAATAAATTGAACAATAAATTTTGAAATCATTCATTATTTAGTTTATTTATTCTTGTCCATATTACTCTCTAATATTAAAATTTTTGCCGTTACGCTGGAAATTTTTATTCATAATCGTCACAAAACGTTTATCGGCCCTATTTATGAGCTCTCGTCAGGTGTTCTAGCTTTCCGTTTTGATATCATTCATTAAATAAAAAGCAGCGATGTTAATTAATTAAAAAGGTTCTCTTAGTATCCACGCATGTGAAAGTTCTCATGGTTCGTATCAATTTCAAAAAGTATCCTTCCTGGCCGTAGATTTCAGTGCATTATTGGGTGATCATCTGGTTGACTGTATATTTATCATTCAACGATGTATTTAAAAATATAGTAAATATTTTCAAAATTCCATATTTCAAAGTTAAAATAATATATAATTCGATAAGTTCGACTGAAAGAAATCTGATAATTTTATTTCTTTTTTTTGTTTTTGTTAAATTACGGCAACGCAACACTTGGGCGATCTACCTAGGGGAAAATGCCTTCCGGGAGATCTTTTTAAGGATAACCGGCTCCTATTCAGGGATTACAGACGTGGAAAAAACTCGAAAAACTCCACGTGGCCAGCCCGTCCTGACAAGGCGCAAATCCACGACTGTACTATCAGTGTTCAGAGAACGGAACCGCTCTGCCACTGATGGACTTTCTTATAAATCAAATCTTCGTTCGTAGTGTTTCGGTTTGCATTAATATATAAAAAATGTTTAAATATTACATTATATAAATTAATATTTTATATTATTTTAGATCTAATTTAAAAATATAAATTCGATTTTTGAATTAGCAAATTTTTTTACAATTTATTTCTTAAATGAAGCAATAACCGATAGAGGGCAAAATGTATTAAAAATGGTGGATGTTTCGTGAGTTGTGCTGTGTATTTGATTCAGTGAAAGTGAAAACGTATCATGAATTCTTCCATCCCAGAGATTCGAATTTATTCACCAGAAAAAGTTAATAATGGCGGAGGTGCTTTAAATGGTAAGGTTGATAATGTCCGAAAGAATCCATTTTTTTGTGATATGAGAAAGGTTGATATCAAAAGCATTCCTATGGTTAAGTGGGAAAATACAGCGCACATGAGAACACACAATCTCAGTAATTTTTCTGCGAGTACTTTGATGTATCGCACAGCTTATCGGTCTCAAGGAATAGCTATGAACAGAGCTAAGTTAGGATGCATTTCCAGTCCTATCAAATCTTTAGATTTATTAAGGCAGAATCTTCAAACTAGTATCAACAAAGAAATAGATGAAATTATTCAAAGATATTTAGAGAAGTTTTTCAAACCGGGTTTAGAAAATATTCGTGCAAATAATGGTGAAAATTCTGTATCTGAGCATCATGTTCATGGTGTGTGTAAGCAGATATTAGAAGAAGCAAAGAAAATGTATCAAGGGAGCCATACTAGAGGAAATAGTCCAGCAGTTGATTGCTCAGATGTTGAATATCACAGCCCACCTGAAATTAAACCTGGGCGAACTTATCATAAAGGTCCTGGAAGAAAAAGAAAAGATTCGGATACAGATTCTGAAGCTAGTCAAAATTTAATTAAGCCTAAAAAGAAAAAAGGAAGACCTCCAATCCATTTCCACAGTAATATATCTGGACGTTCGACTCCTTCGAAACTAAAATCGTCGGAGCCGGTAAAGAGAGAGGGACCAAAATGGGATCCGGCTCGATTAACTCCTGAAACACAATTCATTATGGGTGCTAAGGCTAATAAAGCCTTGGGTTTAGGTGCAACTAGAGGTAGACTTTACATAAAACATCCAGATATATTTAAATATTCGGGTGATCAAGAAGATAAACAATGGCTCTATGATCAGAATCAAATGCCTGCTACTGGAGGTAAGGCATACATGTTACTTGTAGAGGATATTCGCCAACTTGCCGAATCTGAAGAATACCGCAATAATCCTGGCTTAATGATGGATGAAATAATAGGATTTTCTGTACCAGATAGCATGCTTCAAAAAATGAAAATATCGATGCAGTTAATGCGTACTGATGTGCCAACTAGGAAAAGAGGACGCCCTCCTTTAAATATAGATACTAGTAGTGAGCGTAATAATATTCAGGTTGAACAGAAGCAAGAAGAAGTAATACCAGAGGATAGAAGACAAGCTGAATCAGCTGAAACGTCTCCTGCTGATCTTGATTTGTTAAGTACAGAAATGCCATCAAATGATCCTTCACCATTTAGTCTTGGTCCTGGTTTTGATGATGTAAGTCCAGCACAACCAGAAGTTTCACCAACACCGTCAGAGTTTAGTACCAGTATAGATCCACCCCTCTCAGCTCCATTTGATATAACTGCTCCTTAGTGATGTATAATATTTCTTTTAGTTTTAAGACAACAGACCAATGTACATGATAAAGTTTTATTTGTATTAGGAAAAAATTAATTTATCAAAGTTAAATAATAGTTTTAACTTAATTCTATAAAAAGAAAGGAGTAAAAATGTAAAACTGTGAATTGAAAAAGTGCCTGTTTGGACAGAAATTGTTACGAAATAATGCATTGTTTTAAAAATTGACAGATACACTCCGTGTTGATTCATAACCTTGTATTGGAAAGGCGAACTCGAGGATGGAATAAATGACTTGATACGAATTAATAGATTCCTCTTGTTTCCCTAGAAATCATACTTGAATCATATAAGTGATTACAGAGTACAAAAATGGATATCATGCAGTTCATTCAGGGATTTAGATCAAGGACTATTATGATATTTAAAAGAAAGCGCTTCAAAAATCTATTTTCTTAGTGTATTTATCCATATTGATGGCTCCTTTTAATAGAATTTGATGTGCTATCTGCTTTTAAAGTAAGAAATTAATTTTCTCTCAATCATAGATGTAATGTCATTCATATAAAACGTGGTATATAATTTCCAAAAATTATTTAAAATTAAATTAAATGCAATTTCTATTATTTGTATAATTATTAAACCTAAGTTATCTATATTTTGTGACCGTTTAGATTTGAATCAAAGTGCTGAAGATAAAATACTAATATTGATGATCTATTGTACTGGAAGATTTAATGAAATACATTTATAAATAATATTTTAAATTCTATTTTTTATATATATAATTAGACCCTATTCATTCCAAATTAGATAATTTTCTATCATCATATTATAAGAAAAATGTGAAAATATAAAGAAGCAAAAGTATGAAAAATTTTTTACATAATAGAATGCTAATAATGTGAGGATTCATTTTCCTATTTGCTTTCTATAATGCTTGTTTTACTTTTAACTATAATAAAATTATAAAATGTAATTAAAGATGTGTAAAGTAATTGAAATTCCCTGTTTTGTTAGAATACATGACTGAGGTTTCAACTTCTACCTGTAAGAGTAATATTATATATATTGATTTTATATATTTTATATAGTGATATATATAATTATATGTAAAATTCATTTATAAATATTTTGCTCTTTTGTGTCACTACATGGCATTACAACATATTTTTTATGGGTAAAAGTTGAAACCATACCTGAATTATATACTTTCGTATAAATAATAAAATTTATACGAAATTGTAACGTTATAATTTAAAAAAAATCTTTACAAAGTTTATTAGAAAATAGATCATCAATGAGATTTAAGAAGGCAATAACAAGATTTTAAAATTTAAGTTTTAAATAATAGTATACTCTCTGTTAGAAAAGTGCTTTTAATAAATTAGTTTTTACTTATAAAAAGAAAAAATTGTCAAATAAAGAGTAAAGAGTACAAAACTATTTTCCTATTTCCATATTGATGTAGAATTAATTGATGAATGTATGCATGAAACTTTAAGTAGAGTGTATTTGAGTAATTAGTTTATTATAATATATACTGCATGCTGTTTATATTTCTTGATTTCAGTTCACCAAGAAGGTTGTAGAATTCATGATTTTGTTGTTTAAGAAATGATTATGATAAATATTTAATTCAGCTCTGTATATATTGTATATGAAATTAAATATTTTTCTTTCATGGAATACATTAACTTGTGATTAAAAAAATAAAATCATTCCCATTGTTTTCGTTCAATTTAATTGTTGTTTGATTTAACAAAAGAGCACTGACTAGATTTAAGCATCGTTTTTCAACCCTCCGTCTTTTAGGCCGAGAATCCTCCTTTGGAAGCAATTAGCCTGCCAGCCAAGCTAGAAATTCTCCGCTTTTAAGTTCTTTAGTCAAATTCGTTTATGCGTATCGTAATACAGTGATAAACACGACATTGTATTATGGGTGCGATCATCGCAAACGATAGTGAAGATGCTTGATAAACTCGGTATATTAAAGCTTAGATTGGATCAGTCCTGATGCGATCGTTGTTAGAACTACGTATCAATTGTTTGCATATTGCGAGCAGTTTTCAAGTGTCGTTTCAAAGAAATCGAAATAACCGTCATCTACGATGAATTGTGAACGTAGGCACGTAATTTATTGTATTATGTACAATAAATATTGTATTATATACTTCACAATATTTACAAGCGTTAAACATGCCCTACGCATTTAATGTATTTTTGTGAAAGGACTTTCGTGGATTTAGCCTACAGGCCCTTTACTAACTATCCCATTAAAAAAAAATGTTGGAATTAGGTTGAAAAAGCTCAGCGAAAACATCTAAATAGAGGAAATTTTTGAAAGTTGTAGCATAAGAATACTGGAACTAAATTTGACAGTAAGATTCAATACGTGAATAAAGCACACATTACACAGACTAAATAAAGAGTTTTTAATGAAGCAATACAGTAGAACCTCGAAAACGGCTCTCGATAACCCGGCACTCCGGATAACTCGGGCACACCCTGGCAGGGCAAAAAAATCCTTAGTTAATTAATTTTCATTATAGACAGCTTTATAAAAGTATAAATGCTCTCATAAAGTATTTTTCTGAGGTCTGTCTTATCAGGTAAATTACTGTACACAGTGTATTCATTAATTTTCATTTTCATGTAGTAAAGGCTCTATGCCTTCATAAAGGACGTACTTTTCCTTTGTTTAAGGGTATTTGGGCAGTTTATTCTCTGTTATATTCTCAAGTAAACAGTACATACAAGTACAGTACAGTATTTTCTGAGGAAACACTCGTACTTAATTTTTTTAACCCCATTCCCGATAACCCTGCATTTTCACAAACTCGGCCACCCTTCGGTCCACATTAGGCCGAGTTTTCGAGGTTCTACTGTATCATCAGAATATGTCAACTTTGTTCCATCAGTGTTTTCATGGGATATGAAGTATTTTTTAATCATCAATAATTTCATAATAGAATAGTCTTTAGGGGATGTCCATAATAGAGATGGGAGATCCAGTTCCAGTTCCGTTGCTGGAACTGGAACTGTTGGAACTAATCCAAGTACGGAATTGTTCCAATGGAACAGTTAATAAAGGTAGCTAGACAGTCCTCGTCGGTTTTATGTGGGATATAAAATGTTCCTCTCCCTATTCTTTGTATTTTGGTCGCTCTGCTTCAAATTATTCTTGTTTAACTCGGAATCTGAGGAAAATATAGACGATCACGAAACCCGGACACCTTACTCTTCTTCTGATTTCATCCCCCTTATTAACTCCTAAATTTTTGTCCAGTCTGCACCAAATTCTTCATGCTTATTCCCTGGGACTCTGGGGAAAATATAGAATATCATGAAACCCGGACACCCCACTCTTCCCCTGATTTGATCGCGACACTTCGCGATAAACATAAAAATTGTAAGCTAAAATAACCAAATTTGTGATATGATTTTCATTTTAACGCTCAGTCATTTTACTGTTTGGACGGACAATGCCGGACATATCTGCTGGTTACTAATAAAACAAATAATTACGAACTCTAATAAAAGTATAAATTTTTTAAAATATCTTTGTAAATTTAAACACTACTCTAATTTGATTATTCCTAAAAACCCGTGGAACATGTTCATTACTTTAAATTGAAATCCAGATAAAAAATTTACTATTTCGTGGAAAATCGTATTCGTAATAGTACAGAATGAAAAGCGAGTTAGTACAGTAGAGCGTCGTTTATCCGAATCAATTTGGGACTGGGGTTGTTCGGATAACTTATTTTTCGGATAACCAATTATGTACGAAAAAAAATATTAATTTATCCCGTGTTGAAATTTTTCTCCGTTGCGTGTCGCTTCGCATTAAATTTTCGTCGCTGTTAAGTTAACGAAGACTATTGTATCGTTAAAAATTATTTTTTTATTTTGTACAAACAAAATAAATATATTGAAAAATATAAAAACAATAAAAAATTATACTTCAGAAGTTAATTTAGTATCAAAAACGTAAAATATTTGAGTAGCC